ATGGAGAGGTGGCGCTGGGACTGCAGACAGGGGCTCCATTAGGCCAGGCAGGAACCATCAAGTTTCCTTTGGGCCATGCTGTATCAGTTTGACCTCTGGCCAAGGGCTGGCCAGAGACAGTGCTGTGGGTAAGGAAGAGGAACTTCTCAGGTGGTGGACTGGGCAGGACTCAGGCCCATGAATGCGGGCATGAAGGAGGTGCAGGACTCTTAAATCTCTCTGGCATTTCTCACTTGAGCAACCCCATCAAATATGTGTGACCACATATTTAGAGTACTGTCAACCAGGGAAGCCTTGGTGTCCAGGGCCGGTCACTTTGACATGGAGCACCAATGTGGCTGATGATAGTTTCCAGCCCTTCCAGAGGTCAGACTGATACAGTGTGGCCCAAAGTCCCCACCATAACCACATTTTTTACCATGAACTATTTAGCATGGTCCAAAGTCCCAGGTATATAAAAGTCCCAGGGATATTCCAAGGGCTTAGAGGGTATCTCACAAGAGATGGTTGAGGTCCAGTCTTTTCTTTGTCAAATGTACAGGGTGTGAACAACTCAAGCCTGATGCACTACCCTTTACTGCACTTGTATCCAGCTGCCTACTTAAAAGGACTCTGGAAAAAAGTTACCCCCTAATTTTTTCATCAGAGCACCCAAATCTGCTCTGCCTATAGTCTTCCTTATCTCAGTTCACGGAAACGTCACCCTTCTAGTGGCTCAGGCCACAGAACTTGGAGTCATCCTTGACTTCTCTTCCCCCACATCCCAAACTTAACTCTGGCCAATCTTGCTGATTCTATCTTCAAAGTATTTCCAGTTTCTTTCTGCTTCCCTCCCCCTCCACTATTTCCACCCTGGTCCAAACCACCACTATTTCTCTCTGAATGAGTCCAACAACGTCCAAACTGGCTCCTTGTTTTCACCTGTGGCCCCTGCAATCTCCTCCAGGCAGCCAGATGACCCTTTAAAATCATAAGCCAAATCATATCATTCCTCTGCCCAAAACCCTCTATTGACTTTTAATCCTACTTGGCAAAAAACCAAAATCTTCTGACCCCAAGTACCTCCCTGCCTTAATTTTGGTTTGCAAACTCTCAACTCACAGTGCTCTACCTGCAGCGGCTTCCTTCCTCACTCTCACCAGACACATCCCTGCTTTAGACTTGTATTTGTATTGAAATAGTCATCTTCCCTCCCCACTCTTCTTGAGTATTTTCCTCCACAGCACTTTTACAGTTGTCATACCACTCATCTGCCTGTTTATGAGCTCACTGTCTCCACCTCCAGCCCTCCCCCTCTGCCCCCACCAGACTCTATGCTCCACAAGAACAGAAACTTAATTTTCAAAATCTCTCCTGTATTCCCTGTATTGTTGACTGGATGAATGTGTAGGCAATAGACCCTGCAGCCTATTGTTCACTCTTGGATCATTTTGGTTCTACAAAAGCTTGATGATTCAGAATCTGACAGTGTTTTCTAAATAAGCAACGTAATTCTTCCATGTGGTCAAATACTTCCCATTTTCAGGATAAAATAGAAAAGAATAATTTAGGGTAGATTCTCCAATGTGTAGGTAAGCTCCATGGGGGCAGGGGTTATGTCTGGCATGTGTTTGACGCTCATGAATATTTACTGATTGACCAAAGAACATTCCTACCTATTCTTAAGATCACAATCTGGCAGCACAGAGAGAAATTTAGTAATAATTTGTCCATTTGATGTTGGGGCCATGTAAGATTTGTGGATAAGTGACCTACTCATGTTTTACCATTAACTAGAATTAAGTTCCCAAGTCCCATCCCAGAGTTCTTTTCCTGTTCAATGAGCTCCCTATGTCTGCTTCAAAGACCTTTGGGACTAAAACTAGAGAATAAGAACTTGGGAGGGAAAAGGGTGTTGGGATCTCACTGTTTCCATCTCATACTGTATCAAGAGGAGCTGGATTTTGAAACATGCCAGACATGCACTCACATTCCCTCACTGCTATTAAGAAGTTGGGAGAGTTTGGTCAAATTGCTTAACTTCTGGTCCTCAATAAACACGTCCATTAAATGGAGATTGCCTAAATAGGGCTGTGGTAATCCTTCCATAGTGAGTTTGCAAAACTGTAACATTATAACTCAGAAGTGAGAAAAATTAATCCTTTCACCTTGTGGGTAACTGATGTAGTCTTCCTCATGAGCCCTTCACCTAATGGTTAGCAAGAAAAACAATTCAAGGTTTAATTTTGTTTAGTCTAAATAGATACAGAATCTCAGTAGGAGATAATAAAGATTCTGGAGATGGAGCATGGTGATGGTCACACAACAGTGTGAATGCACTTAATGCCACTGACTTTTACATTTAAAAATGTACAAGCTTTTTTTCTAAATAAGCAACGTAATTCTTCCATGTGGTCAAATACTTCCCATTTTCAGGATAAAATAGAAAAGAATAATTTAGGGTAGATTCTCCAATGTGTAGGTAAGCTCCATGGGGGCAGGGGTTATGTCTGGCATGTGTTTGACGCTCATGAATATTTACTGATTGACCAAAGAACATTCCTACCTATTCTTAAGATCACAATCTGGCAGCACAGTGAGAAATTTAGTAATAATTTGTCCATTTGATGTTGGGGCCATGTAAGATTTGTGGATAAGTGACCTACTCATGTTTTACCATTAACTAGAATTAAGTTCCCAAGTCCCATCCCAGAGTTCTTTTCCTGTTCAATGAGCTCCCTATGTCTGCTTCAAAGACCTTTGGGACTAAAACTAGAGAATAAGAACTTGGGAGGGAAAAGGGTGTTGGGATCTCACTGTTTCCATCTCATACTGTATCAAGAGGAGCTGGATTTTGAAACATGCCAGACATGCACTCACATTCCCTCACTGCTATTAAGAAGTTGGGAGAGTTTGGTCAAATTGCTTAACTTCTGGTCCTCAATAAACACGTCCATTAAATGGAGATTGCCTAAATAGGGCTGTGGTAATCCTTCCATAGTGAGTTTGCAAAACTGTAACATTATAACTCAGAAGTGAGAAAAATTAATCCTTTCACCTTGTGGGTAACTGATGTAGTCTTCCTCATGAGCCCTTCACCTAATGGTTAGCAAGAAAAACAATTCAAGGTTTAATTTTGTTTAGTCTAAATAGATACAGAATCTCAGTAGGAGATAATAAAGATTCTGGAGATGGAGCATGGTGATGGTCACACAACAGTGTGAATGCACTTAATGCCACTGACTTTTACATTTAAAAATGTACAAGCTTTGAGTTACAATTACTGGAAATGTAATATCTAACATGATGACTAGAGCTAGTTCTGCTGTAAGGTAAAATTGGAAGTTGTTTAGAGAGTAGATCCCAAGAGTTCTCAGCATAAGGAAGAAAACATTTTTGGGGGTCTTTTCTTTGTACATATATGAGAAGATGGATGTCAAATAAACCTATGGTAATGATCATGTCACAAGACATGTAAGTCAAGCCATTATGCTCTACACCTTAAACTTAGAAGGTGCCATTCATCAAACAAAGCTCCATAAATTTGGGGGGAATTGGTTAAATTTTTAAACTTTTTTTTTCATTTGTGTGTGAGCATGTGTGTTGGTCACTCAGTCGTGGATGACTCTTTGTGACTCCATGAACTGTAGCCAGCCAGGTTCCTCTGTCCATAGGATTCTCCAGGCAAAAATACAGGAATGGGGAACCATTTCCTTCTCCAGGGGATCTTACCGACCCAGGGATTGAACCCACCTCTCCTGCATTGCAAGTGGATTATCATCTGAGCCACCAGGGAAGCCCATGTATCACTACATTTTACCACAGTAAAAAATCAGGGAAATAAATTATCTAGTCTGATAATTTGGATAGTCTCTTCTGGCAATTCTGTCACTTCTGGAAAGATGGTGAAACTCTCAGGTTTCCCAGGCTTGGCCTCCCTTTTCCTCACTAAACTGTGTTTGGATATATGCGGAGGGGGACATGGAGGCTCATGTGATTCCGCAGCAGAGGCAGAGGGTCCTCTGGTGTGATTTCCTTGGCCCGCTAGGGCGCCTAAGCGCTGCCTGCCTCCTCCCAACCCTTGTCCCATGGCTCCAGGCTGAGGAAACACCACGTATTGTGACATCTCAAAAATTCCATCGTCACGCTGGTCGGGGAGCGGCGCTGTAGTTAGCTGGCACGGAGAGCAGCTGTGAGTCACCCGTGGCTCCTCATCCCCCTTCCCCTGACTTCCGGGCCGCCAAGCCCGCTCCTTCTCTCACCGGCTCTGAGGTCTGCCCTCCTCTCCATCCACCGCACTGCTCCCTTCCTGTTTGGGCGTCCTCTTACCACACCCAGGGGCGTGCTTACACTCTGCGATTAATCACTCACCAGTGACCTCCCAGCAGACTGGAAGCTTCTCAAGGAGGAAGGCTGTGTATCACCAGTGTCTGGGACCATTCCTGGGTCAGAAGATGTTTTTCAGAGAAAACATCCATCTCAGTGGCTGCCTGCTCCCGGCCTGCAGGCCTTTGTTATAGTACCTAGGAGGTGTCCCGGCCCCTACCTCTACATCCCAAAGACAGCACAAAAGGAGTGCATGAAATGCTGTGAAAAGAAACACAGTTCTTACCAACGTGCCATTTTCTAAGTCCTGGAACAATCAAGACATTAGAAAGTGGCGTTCCTGCTTTGTGGTGAGCAAATGCTGGTCAACAGACTGTGAGGTCTGAACCGTCAGAGGAAGAAAAAGAGTGTATGTGTGTGTGTAAAATTCCCAACACATTAGCCAATTAAAAAATCATTGCTTTAGCTGATATGTCTTTCCCAGATTGCTATCTGTTTAAACTATGGCATTTAATAAAGAAGAAAGGCTGCCTTTAAGTCATTTTAAGTGTGACAACAACAATAATATCACAGAGAACCAGTTTTTAAAAAGCACAGTTAATCATAATTCATCCTTGGAAGATAACAAATTATCTTCCAAGCCAAAACAAATTATATGTTTTTAAAAAAAAGAGCTCCAAAGCCTATTTACTTACTGAAAATTCCTCCAAAATCTCAGACGAGAAGGTGACGATGAACGTAAGGTCCAAGTGCTTGTTTTTTTTTGGCCCAGGGTCGCCTCCTGTCCTGGGGCCTGAGCACTGCACTTTGGGGCTCCCTGCCCTGTTGAGTTCAGCCACCAGGGAGAATGGCGGCCGGAGAAGACCAAGGTTGAGAGAGTTCTTCCCGACTCTGGGCTGGATTTTCTGACAGAGACCGTCCCTCCACTGCAGCTCTGGACCGCCCTCCTCTACTCAGAGCTCCAAATTCTGCAGGGGCGGTTACAACTCTCCAATGTTGCTAATACGCCTTAATCCTGCTAAGAGCCCACCAAGTAGACCCTTCATTAAAACCTCCTGAGCTACAGAGTTGGCTTCTCTTTCCTGAAGGAACTCCAACTAATTAGCCTGTAATAAGAAACTCCTGACTGGCACCAGCTAGGGCCCTGATGTCCTGATTTGCCGGTCACTGATGGATATTATGTTAATGCAGATATTCCATCAGTACTACTAGATAATACAGCCGAGTTCATAAACTAAAGGCCAAGAACTTGTACCTTCAAATTTCATTGCCTTCCTCAAGTTGAAACCTTAGGATGCTTTCATATCTATTCCAACAATGGCCAAGGTTAAAATAGTCTGAAGTTGCTTTATAAGATTTCCTTTAGTGTTGTTATTTGGAATAATGTTGATCTTTCTTTAATGGCAGGTTTGATACAGATCAACAGGCAATTCAATATACATATATGAAAGTTAGCAATAATTTCATGCTGCTTAGACGCAAATGTCACTAACTGTCCTCAAAATGTATTTGATAGCTTGTTTTTCTTTTAAGCCAGGATCCAAAGTTCATGAGTGGCTTCTGGTTGTCTCTTTAGTGTTTTGGGGGAGGCAAAGACTTTGTGTGTAACTCTATGATCCACTGTATATGTGACACTGAAAACATGTGAACTAAATCAAATGGAGCTTCAGGGAAGGCTAAGTGGTCAGGGTATTGCAGAGGACACAACTTGGGTGTAGGAGGAGATGAGTCAGCCATTCATCGGGGCCATTAAATTAGTGTGGGTAGTCAGCATTTTCCTTTTTCACATTAGGACATACAAAATAATGGTATTTCCATAACACTTTGGGTTGAACAGAGGGGGCTTCTTGGGGGCTGTCTGAAGCTCCAGCTGCCTCAGGCTCTTGTCCCAGTGGTGGGGGACCTTGGAAATGTTCAGACCAAAAATATGACAACTTTTGTCAAAGTTTCCAGGCTTCTTTGTGTCCTGGGGTATTTTTTTTTTATTTCCAACCCCATCACTTTAGTTAATCTTGCGTGTTTCTCCCTCAAGAGTCTCAGCTAGAGTCTTGCTCTGTCCCTTCAGCAGCCACATATGCCCATTAACCTGGAAACACAACGACAGGGGCAGCCTTTTTCCATGTTATTTATTCAGTCAATTAGCTACACGTGGGGGAAAAGCAAATTAGTCAGAGCTTTTGGGGGAGGCCTGGGTGGATGGGTGGAAGATTGGAATTTTAAACAGAAAATAATCTTATAAACAGTTAGATGAGAGATTTACAAAATCTGTTAAAAAAAAATAGTATCCTCTGAGGGTAAGAGACAAAGATAAAATCATCACAAATAAATTAACAACCTCTGATCATGGCATTCCTCAAAACCAAAGTTCCTGAAAATGGTTTGCATTTCAGATTGCTGCAATTTGCAGATACTTATATGGTCTATATTTCCAAAAGAGAAAAATAGAGACAAACACCAAGCAACAGATTAATACAATGTAGGGAAAATTGAGCACATGAAAGTAGCTATCATTTGGTAGCAAAAATAGAGTTATGCCAATGTTAATATCAAAATTAAAGACATTAAAATAAATTATGTCAATACAACTGCTTATTGCTTCTATTCATAACTAAAAGGTCTGAGGAAATTCTATGATAGCTGGAAGGCATAATATAACCTACAGAATAAGGATTAGACCTACAACAAGTTTCAACAATCAAATAGAAACTATTTTTCTTTTAGTGTTGACATTGTTAATAGCAGGACAAGGTCACTCATCATAAATCTGGAAAACACAGAAGGACAGTGCTTGAAGCCCAAGTCAATGATTTACTGGGAGTAATTAAAAATAGTGAGAAAAGCAGCAGCCCAAATGAAGTAAATTTTTTTTTTTTAGTGGTTTGTCTATTTTTCTCTCCCAGAGAGTCCCAGAGGAAGCACATGAGGCCTTGGGGGCTGTCTGGGCATTCTGTGGGGATAACGACAGTTGTCCTAAAGTGAACTCTTGTCTGTTAGTACCAGAACCAGCCTGGCCTCTAGGAGGTGAATGGCATGGAGAAAGAAGCCGCACTGAGACTTTGATTATTACATTTGACTCCAGGAAATACCATCCTAGGCTTTGGGACCTGGGGAGGGAATGATCTGCCTGGCTACGTAGGAGACTGTGGCCCCTTCCTAAAAAGCAGCTCTTGCAGCTTGGGACAGCCAGCAGGGGCGACAGCATCACATCACCTGCAGTGTAACGTGGGAAACTGCACTGCACATAGTCTCATTTCCAAGAACAGCTGTGCAGTTCACCGTACGTTTGGGATGGGATGACCAGGAATAAAATCGAGATGACAACGTGTACCTTCAGCGATGAAGGGATTGGCATTATGTAATTGGGAGATTCAAAATCTGGAAAAGTCAACTCTGCCTCAGTTCTCAAACAATGCCATGTTTCTGCTTCCTTCCTCTTAAGAATATAAAATGTCCTTGAGATACAAATTAGGTTGAGAAGGTGCTTTTGAGAATAGAGATTGAAGGAAAAAAGAGCTGTATCCCCCTCAAGGGAATTTGATGATTATAATAGGATGTATCACCAAGCCATTTAAATGTCAGAAAAACCCTTTATAGAGGTGGGTACTAATAGGTTTTAAAATTGGCATACATATTCAAATTCATCCACACTCCCATCTCAAATGACTACAAAGGTGATGTTTGGTCCCCTGATCCTTGTGATTACAAAATGAACCATAAGATCAATTGAAATAGCAGCACTGGGACAATTAAAGACTTGCCAAAGACCGCATGACAAAGCTACATCCATTCAGGTTGCATGTTTTGTTCTTGTTTTGAGCCAACCTCTGCCGCAGTCAGTATTACTCAAGTTCTACATTTACCTTCACACTGTGAAAATGAGATTTGTTTTCCCCTGGAGTACCCTTAAAATCCACAGGCCTCTTCTTCCTGTCTGTGAGCAGAATTCAGATACAAGCTTGAAAAGAAAAGAACAAAGCCCATACCAAAGAATTTGATCATTTCCATTAGGAATGGAAATGATATTCTCACTGTGTTCATCTTGACATCTTGATAAAATGGAATGGATGAAAGCAATATTTAATGAATTGCATATTATTTTAAAATGCTAGTCACTTGCAGATTCCAAAAGGCTACTGATCCACTTTAACTCTATTTTGAAAATGGAATACTCTCTAACTAGTTGTTTGTGTGACACTGAAAAACAGTAAATCTTTTTTTCCATTACTTATTTGATTTTTCACTCATAGCACTCTTTGATGTTATTTAAATATCTAAAAATGTTTTCTGGAGAAATTTATTTTTTACCACATCATTTTATTGATATCCCATAGGATTGTTATGGACTTTACAGGAAAATGCTTAAAATTCAAGCTTTGGTTTTAAAGTAATATGGGCAGAAATTGGAACTGCTTTGATCACAGAATTCAACTACTGCACATATTTTATTATTGTAATTGGCAATAACATTTAAAAAGGCAAAGTTTCTCTTTTTGGTAGTTATAATCTGTATCATTCAAGACTGCTGCAAAACTCACAAATGAGTGATATGAGTTAAAAAGAAAGTGTAGGAAGGGGATAAGAAGACATTTAAAGCTTTATCAGAACACAGCACAAAGGAAGAACTCAATTCTCTACATTTTTCCATAAGGCAGATGGTCAAACTTTTTAATACAAGACCTAAAATACATTGCTTATTAAGAGGTAGAAAATACCAAAACAGTACTTAAGGAAAATGTGTTGAGTTACTTAAAACAATCCACTACTTTATTAAACTTCTGGAAAGTCAAACTGCCATGTGGAATGCCCTGTGTATTTTAACACTAAATTGGGTCATTTCACACTCAACAGAGATGTGGGCAAATAGTGGGGGAAGTTGGGGTGGAGTAGGAAGAGAAAACAGTTTTTTTTAACTTGTAATGAATTTAAGGAGAAATTTCCTACTGTCTGCCTGGAACCTCATTATGACAATAAATAAACAGGGATTTCTCAAATTATCAACTCTGTATGATTTTGCACATAGGCAATGAAACTAGAGGGAGAGATGACTTCAAATGTTTCCTTCTTCGAGAAGGTACCACACCCATCTTATAAAAAAACATACATCTCACTAATCTTATTCCATTCTCTCCAGTCACTGAAATGCAAATACGAGTATTCTTCAGACTCCAGCATCAGCAGAATTGTTCCGTGTGAGCAATTCGAAAGCTGTCTGAGGCAAAAATATACCTGAGCTACCAAAATAAACCTGGGTAGCTTATGCATGGGTGAGTAACCCTAGGTATTCTTTTTTCTTAATGCACCTGGGAGAGATGGGTTTTCTTTCCAACCTATTCTATAAGGCATAAATTTAATTAGAATTTTCCTAACCTTTGGAAAATTAGTGTTAAAGTTTCTTTTTTTACCCACACATTAACATTCAATCTTTTATTTTTATTAAATAGTTTATATATAAAAAGAAATATCAAGGTGTTCTACATTCATATAAACAATCATGATAACATTTGAAATTGTAAAGAAACCTACTGAAGAAAATATATACTTAAATACTTACAACGCTAAGCTAAGAAGCACAAATGATCATTCTAGATAATATTGTTTAAATAGACACAAGATGGTGGCTTCAGAAAGCAAACGCAGGAGAAGCACAAAGATGTCTTGTTCTTTCCTCTTTCACCACAAGACAGGATGGTCCAGTTTGGAAAAACCAAAATCTTTCCTAAGTTCCAAATAGGTGCCGTTGCTCACCCAAGAGTCATCAATGGATTTCCTGTGGAAGTGAAAGAATTTGTTGAAGGCTCTTGACAAGATTGTCATAGTCTCTATTTCCCTTTTCAGTTCTCTCCACCCCGTCCAGCCTTCCACCCCTCCCCCGCTGCTGCCCGTCCACATTATCATTTGCATCTGCACGCCCTGTCCCTATGGCCCAGAACTGGACTGCCTAGCTACTTCTGACTTGGGCTTCTTGAACTTAGAGGCTGTGAGAAATGGTACTTCTGAGACAAACGGGTGAAGGAAGACTCTGTGGTACATAAAACATGGCTGAGATGACAGCCACCACCTTGAGTATGACTATGTAAATGCTGCAAATCAATCAGGCTGTTCAAATCAAGTACTAAATTAACAGTAAAAAGAAAAGGAATTGGAAGTCATCACAGTCTAGAGTTAACAGCCTTGGTTCACTATTTGACTAGATGTTCAGATCAGTTCAATCGCTCAGCTGTGTCCGACCCTTTGCAACCCCATGAACTGCAGCACACCAGGCTTCCCTGTCCATCACCAACTCCTGGAGTCCACCCAAACCCATGTCCACTGAGCCGGTGATGCCATCCAACCATCTCATCCTCGGTCGTCCCCTTCTCCTCCTGTCCTCAATCTTTCCCAGCATCAGGGTCTTTTCAAATGAGTCAGCTCTTCGCATCAGGTGGTCAAAGTATTGGAGTTTCAGTCTCAACATCAGTCCTTCCAATGAATACCCAGGACTGATCTCCTTTAGGATGGACTGGTTGGATCTCCNGATGGGGAGGATTTGAATAAATTGCCCTGAGATGAGATATAATATGAAATATAAAGTTCATGGGAAAACAAATTTCCTCATGTAATCCTATCTCTGCAATACAGAGGGATCTTGGTTTCTTCTTTTTCATTTTTCAAATATTTAAATATATTGACTTATAATATTATAATAGTTTGGGGTGATATTAATATTTTCATAGATTACAGACCACAAAGTTATTCCAGTATTATCGACTATATTCCCTGTGCTGTACATGACATCCCTGTGACTTACTTATAACTGATAGTTTTCACCCCTTAAATTTTGGATGTCCCTAGGCTATTTGGGTTTCTGAAGACAAGAGTGGAATCCATAAGCTCTCAAACTGAATTGAAAACAACACATTTATAATGATGATTCATTAGAATCTGGTTTATACGCCTAAAACATATAATCTCTAAAAGACATTTTCCTTGGTAATACTTTTTTTTAAAAGGCCTTTCAAAATCCAACTTCGCTGAATAAAAATCTGTTTCCTCTTTTCTTTAATTTTGCAGCTACTACTGTGGCATCATTTTCACCAAAAATGGTTCTAAATATTTGCAGATTCATGTCTTTGATGTGTATCAGCAGATACTTTTTTTTTTCTTTGTGTGACATTAGTGAAATGATTAAAATTGAAAATGAAAGCTCAGTTGAAAATATTTGGGTAGAAAAAAGGTCATATAATCACTGCCCTTAACAGATTTTTGTTGTATTACCAATATTTTATGCATACTTGAAAAAGTTATAATCAGACTATGCCCACAAAGTTTGCATCTTGATTCTATTGCTTAAAGTGATTAAAATCTTTCACATTAAAATAAGACAACATTTTACTGTCTTCATTAAGTATAACTTAAACTCAATGACTAAGCATTCAAATGGGAATATCTTTCCTTTTCTCCTTTACCTTTTGCTTCTCTTCCTTTCACAGTTATTTGTAAGGCCTCTTCAGACAACCATTTTGCCTTTTTTGTATTTCTTTTTCTTGGGGATGGTCCTGATCACTGCCTCCTGTACAATGTCACAAACCTCTGCCCAGAGTTCTTTAGACACTCTCTCAAATCTAATTCCTTTGACTCTATTTGTCACTTCCACTGTATAATCATACAATACTAGATATTGCATAGACCCAAATTCAAAAGGTTCAAAAGAGTGGAGAGCTGAATTTTTCCATCCTACTCCCAGCCTCCTGGTTCTCCTCAGAGACAATAACCTTAGCAGCTTCACTCTTTCAGAGAAATTCCACGTGTGTGAGCTTGCATGCACGCACATGCATGCTCCACTCTTCTCCTTGTTTTCATACAATGGTAGCCCTGGGTGGTGTCCTACCCCTTAAATTTCTGCATAACATATATACTTGTAACCCTTCTCCATTGTCAAAATAAGGTCAGCAAACTATAGCTCAAGGGCCAAATCCAGCAGTTGGCTTTCTTTGTAATTCCATTTAATTGAAACATACCATGCCTGTTCATTCAAGTATCGACTATTTGCTGCTTTCGCACTGCACAGCAGGGTTGAGTCATCACTACTGAGACCTCACACCCTGCAAAGGTAATATTCCCCATTTGTCCTCTGCAGGGAAAGTTTGCTTTCTCTGGCAAAAAAGGAATTCCTCATTTCCTTTTTAAACAGTTGCATGATATTCCATTGTGGGGATGGACCACGATTTAACAGGTACTTGACTGGTGGACACTGTGTTGTCAACCCCTAGCTATTATAAACAAAACAGATGTTATTTTGTATGTGTGTGAGATTTATTATATTAAAAATTCCTGTAAGTTAAAACCTCTCGGTCAAAGAGTATGTACGCTTGTAATGTTGACTGATACTGTCACGTTTTAGAAAAAGTGAGGAGTGTGTATTTACCCACATTCTCAGGAACATAGTTTTTTTTTTAACTTTTTATTTTGTATTGGGGTACAGCCAATTAACAATGTTGTGATAGTTTCAGGGGGACAGCAAACGGACTCAGCTGACTGAGTCCATTATACATGTATAAAGGAGCTGTATACATGCATTCATTTTCTCTTAAACTCCCCGCCCATCCAGGCTGCCACAAAACATTGAGCAGAGTTCCCTGTGTTATACAGCAGGTCCTTACTGGTTATCCATTTTAAATATAGCAGTGTATACGTGTCGATCCCAAACTCCCTAACTATCTCTTTCCCTCAGTCTTATCCCGGCAACCATGAGAGGAACATGGATTTTTATCATAATTGTTTCTCTGTTCCAATAAAGGGATGTGTTTAAAATAAGTCAATCTGCATATCAGATATTTTCCTTTGAAACAAAGATGACTAATGCTGCCAGAGCTATAGCTTCCACTTGGAATTTCCATTGATTCTTTGGTGACTCCTTAGTGTCAAGGGAAACATCTAAGTCCCCATATTCCTCCTCTGTGTCATCTCAGCCAGCTTCTAATTGGAACAGTTCCAGGACTGCTACTGCTGAACAATTCCCACCTTTTCTCACATTTTTACCTGCCACACCCAATAGTCTGATAATTTTATAGACAATCAAAAAGAAAAAGAGCTGCCGCTGTGTTCAGTCCTTCTCTATTCCAGACAGAAGTCTTACATGGTTGAAGCGACAGCCTAGATAACATTTTATATTTTGCATTTAAATGTTAGTTCATTTCCCATAGCGCTCCATAGACTTTTTGAAGATTTTTCAGGTTTTCCTATCAGGTCAAGTTGATCAATCTCCTTATCTAGTTCTTGAGACACTTTGGTTACCCACAATATTTAATGCTCCTAAAAATACTGTAACAAACCTCTTTAACAAATATTAGTAAAATCAATTGATCAGTCTGTTAGTCTATCCATTTACCTATCCATTGCCTTTCTGAAAAAAATAATTTAAGGAAACTTATTCATTAAATGTTTAAATGAAGCTATGACTATTCCAGGATAAAACTCTACTGTACTGATCTTAAATCACTCATATCCTGAGTGTGTGATCAAAAATACACACCAACTGGAGGGGAAAGAGTATTATACTTGGGGAATAAAACATAACTTGCTGCTATTTTCCTGTTTTGGAGATTATTATTATTATTATTATTATTATTATTATTTTACTGCTGCAGCTGATAGATTAGTTGCTAAATCCTCCTAACAGTGTTTCTGTTGCCCATTAGAAAATCATAACAACAAAAAATTCCTGCAAACAATGATAAAATCCTGAAAACAAGACTGGGGGTAACAGGCAGGGCAGGAAATGGCTGCTTTGCTATATGTGCTTGTTTTAATGTTGATATTTAAATAAATGAACAAATCAAAACACCCCAGAACCACATTGAGTCCTGGCCTGTAGTCAAGAGAGCTAGGCCCCTGTCTGGGACAGTCCACTGGGTCCTTCCACAGATCACGACGTCCCCTCGTCCTTCACCTCTTCTCAGGTAAAATAAAAGAGGAGGTGAAGGGTGGACCACCTTGGATGTCCCTTCTAAACTTTCAGCCTATTTGTAATAANCAAGGGAAGCCCAAGAATACTGGAGTGGGCAGCCTAGCCCTTCTCCAGGGGATCTTCCCGACCCAGGAGATTGAACTGGGATCTCCTGCATTGCAGGTGGATTTTTTACGAACTGAGCTATCAGGGAAGCCCTATACTCATGAGAGGGGTTGCAGAGAAACCAATCTTAGACCCAGCCTGAACAAACTGGCCTGGTATTGGGAGCTGGGTTTGGTTGGTCTCTTTGCTTCTCCCATAAACTCTTACTAACCACCTCTCTGCAAAGGTGGGAGGTGCTGAGAGGCGCAGGGAGAGAGCAAGGATGCAGAAAGGAGGACGACTGAGGGGGAGGCAGTGTCCACACAAAGTCCGGCCCTTACAGAGGAGAGACACCACCACTGTGAAGCAGGAAAAGTGCTGAGAACACGCTCATGTGGTGGGGACGCCCCATCCACTCTCCTCACTCCAGAAGCAACAGGTGTCGCCAGTACCTGCCAACAGGGACCCATAGGACCCTGCCACTCACACACCTGAAAAACCTCGGCTGGTGCTCCACCTTATTTTCTTCTAAGACCCGCCGCCTTTCTCTCTGCAGCTGTTCAATCCTCTGCTTTTGTATTTCAGCTTCTTCTAAGTTCCCTTCTTCTAGAAACCTGAGACATTAAGGGAAAAGATGAAGGAATACAAATGCCAAGGAAATGGAACCATCATTACTACCAGGACTGTACATGTGCAGACCGCATATTCAGAATACCCTCCTATACAAAGAGGACACCTCCCCAACCCTTAAACATCACTTGGAAGTAGTGAGGAATGACACTGTGTTATGAACTGGTGATACAGATAGGGTTCAAAAATTATATCTATAAAAAGGAATTTGGGGCAAAATTTCCCTCTCATTCCTGTCTTTAATTCTGTTTCCTTCCTACCCCATCCACCATGGGTAACCCACCGTGACTAGTTTCTTGTGCATCCTTCTAGAGATTTCTTATTCATATATAAACAAACATTAACATATATTCTCACCTCCCTTTTAGAACATAAATGGAAGCAGGCTATACATACTGTGCATACTTTCTTGGTTTGGTTTCTTTTTTCTTGCTTTGTTTTACTTACCAATGTATCTTGGAGCTCTTTCTTGGTAGTACATAGATCTCTTCATTTTTTAATAGATATATAATATTCAGTTATGTGGGTATACCTGAATTTATTTAAACAATTCTCCGTTGATAGATATTTGAGGTGGTCTCAATCTTTTTTATGTTACAATCAATGCTGCAGTGAAGGACTGTGTACAATTGCCATTTTGCACATGTGTTAGTTTATAAGGAGATGATTCTAGACTTGGAATTGCTGGGTAAAAAGGTGAGTTTGCAATATGTCTATTACTAACTACCCTGTACAGGGATTCCAGCAATTTACATTCCCACCAGCAGTGGTATTGGAATGCCTATTCCCTGTACCCTCAGAGTGCATCAAACCTTTTGAGTCTTTGCCATCTGATGGGTAAAGAAATGGTATAACAGCATGGCTTTTAAATTTTTGCATTTCTCTGAGCAAGACTGAGCACCATTTCATATAGTTAGGAGATATCTGCACTTCCTAGTTTGTGAACTGTTCATTTTCCTATGTCTATTTTTATTTTTTTTCCAAATGGATTGATCTTGATTTCTAGAACCAATTCATGAAGTAAACTGCTCAGTCATAAATCTGTTGATTCTGGGTATACATTTTATTTATTTTACCATGAAGAAGGGTGTTGGGTTTTTTTAAATAAAGTGAAATTTTATCTTTTTTTTCCCCCCTTGGTTTTGAGTCTTAAAGAGATAGGCCTCAGGGGAGACATTATGCTTTCCATTTTACAGAGTTGGAAACTGAGACTGAGAAAGGTGAAAAGACTTAGCATGTCATACAGCTTGTCAGCCTCAAACCTAAGATCAGAAGTTAGATTTCAATGCACCAAAATAGTTTAAATTCAAGGGCCAAGGAACTGAATGCTTTTATTCTTTCAAGTACAGAGTAAGTGTATTTTTTATTACTATATGTGATAAAATGCTTTTAAAAAAACTTTAAAATATATATATTTAAATAGAAATGGGAATCTACTGGTGAATAAAGGTCATGCCACACACTGCTCTAAGCTGGGCTCTGCTCCTTCCACAAGGTTGCATATAGTCCCCCTAGACTTCTACTCTTGATGACAGAATCTCTCTCTTTTAGGCTCCATTGGTGGCCTAGAAGATGTTACTAAGCCTTTTTATAAAGAGTTTCACATCTCTGGAGGATAAAGACCTGAAAAATATCCTTACCTTTGATCTGGTCTGAATCGAGTGTCAGTAGGTGGTAATAAAGACTTTAACAATGGATCCATTTCATTTAATTCTAGTGCAAACTGTGTGAAGCCATAATATTGCTCATAGCCTTTTGGCATGGGATCTAAAAGAAAGAGAGATCGTTCATCTCTAACTTGAATTGCATTCACATCACATCTTAATTCTTTCACCTTTTTCATCTCAGACCTGCTACAATTTTTCTCTCTCAGCTCTAAACTCTTACTATTTCTATTAAAACATTCTGGCTTACAAAGAGGTTCTGAATTTTTCTCTATAGATTTTCTTTTCTATAAGTTTCCTTCTGCCTACAAGGCTAAGGCCTTTTTTGTGCAATTCAAATTTGTTAAATATCAAAATGTTTCTATAGAATTTTAAGTGATAAAAAGAATTTGTTACAAAAATAAGCATGCTGAAAAGAACTCCAGGTTCATTTTTACTAACAAGACTCTCACTCTAGAGAATCCATTTTTCATTTAAGAGATGTCAATTTCTTCTGAAACTGTCTAGTACCTTGAATAGTGTTGGACCCATAGCAAGAGGTTATACTTTACTTTCATCTCTGCTCCTCCTTTCCTCAATGTGGGGCCTCTCCAGATCTTACATATTTTTATTTTAAACCATCTCAGGGGAAGCCAGGGATATAGATGGGATTATACCAGCAGAAAACACTGTCAGCTGGAACCAAAGGGGATAGAGAAAACGGGACTAAATGAAGCAAGGCTGTTGGACTATTGTTATTTTACAGATGGAAGCAGAGAGCTGCCCGGCTGCAAACACGCATCACCTTCAAACAAAGGGAGAAATGATTCTGAGGGTGATTCAGGGACATCAGGCTGACCCTCCCTCCACAGGCCCAGGGGGCAAGGCTGCTTCCACTTCTCAAGGGGCTGGGCCACTGTGCAGCTTCAACATGTCCAGCTGCCACTACTCAGAACCCTGGGGGCCTTGGGAGCTGGCCAGTGTCCCAGTGCGACCAGAGGGTGGGGCATCAAGCCAAAGAGGAGGTTCCCCAGTCTTAAGACCTAATGGCATTTGCTGTGCTAGGTTCTGGGCTAACTTAAAACCCATCACCGCTTTCTTCTTTCCTCTTTCCCCCTTTGGAATGGGAATGTCTATCCTATGCTCATCCTGTCACTGAACTTTTGGAAACACATTTTGGTTTCACAGGTTCATAGCTGAAAAGGATGAATCATACCTCCAATCTCACCCATGCCTGATTTAGATGATATTTAGATGAGACTCTGGACGTTAGAGTTGAAGCAGGAATGAGTTAAGACTTTTGGGGCTGTTGGGGTGGAAAACATACATTTTGCATGTAAGAAGGATATGATTTTGGGGGCCAGCATGTTAGACTTGATGTTTATGTTTTCTTAAAATTCATATGTTAAAATGCCACCTCCAACATGCCTGTATTTGGAGATGAGGTATCTAAAGAATTGAAGAAGGTATAATGAGGTCAGAAGGGTGGGCCCTCACCTGCAGCCAAGCCACAAGGAAGACTCTGACCAGAATCCAAATTTGCTTATACCTAGCCTCTGGAACTGTGAGAAAATGAATTTCCGCTGTTTAAACCAGCCAGTCTGTGGTGTTTTGTTATAGCAGCCAAAGCAGATTAATGCAGTCATGGTGCCCTAATTTTAATTCCAGCTAAGAATCAAGCTAAATAGACCTAAATTTATGTCTTGGATAAATCAAATGTAGACTAATATAGTCTACTCTGAGCCTTAGCTCTAGTTGTCCATACATACAAATACAAATGCTTTCCATGAACTTTTCTGCAGACCCATTTTTTGAGGGTTCAGAAGTCCATTTTGTCTAATTCTAGTTCTCTGGATCCTAAGTATAAAAATAATAGCAAAGCTTCCTATTGTGCCTTCAAAAATACATCCTAGTCTTCCAGTCACCAGAGTGGAGACTGTTTTTTTTTCTTGCAGACAGGCCAGGGATGCTCACAACCATAAACAAAGACATAAAGTCAATAAATAACAAAAATAACAGCTCACACAGGGTTCTTTTGTCAAGGTACTACTTTAACACCTGGACCAGATGGTAACTCTCATCTGCAATACATTCTTTAAGCAAAGGAGAATGAGTGTTTCACTCATAAAATGTCATGTGTGCCTCTGAACCTTTGAAGCCAAGGAGGTGGCGAGTGGTGCCAATTCATTCTAGCTTCATGGCAACCTCTCTGACAGTGGAAGATGCAGACACTGCCCATTGAAAGAGACATTGTTGGCTGCCCACTCTACAGTCATCTCCCTTTCTTGCTAATGGCTGACTCATCTGTGAAGGTGTCCTTGTACTCTTTCTAGGGGATTAATCTAAGGTCATCAGAATCTCTCCTGCTGACCCAGTGTCACAGATCAGTTAAGGGATGAATCTGGTTTCACTTCAGGTTGACAAGTTATAAACACACATTTGACGACTTCCCTGGTGGCACAGTGGATAAGAATCCGCCTGCCAATGCAGGGGACACAGTTTTGATTCCTGATCCGGGAAGATCCACATGCCTCGAAGCAACTAAGCCCATGCCCCATAACTACTGAAACTGCTCTAGAGCCTATAAGCTACAACTACTGAAGCCTGCGCGCCCTAGAACCCATGCTCTGCAACAAGAGAAGCCACCATGATGAGAAGCCGGCACACCACAACGAAGAGTCCCCGCTCGCCACAACTAGAGAAAGGCCACGCGAAGCAGCAAAGACCCAGCACAGCCAAAAATATATAAAACAGTAAATAAATAAATGATTTTTAAAAAAGAGCAGAGCCTTGCAGGAGACTCTGAATTCAGAAGAGGAAGATGGAGTAACAAGGACCACATATGGCCTCCCACATAAACCACCACCAACAAAAAGGAGACAGACAAGATAGAAAGATACATTTGCTGGGGAATACTAGGAAATTCTTCATTCCTGAGAAGAAAAGAGTCACAGCAGAACAAAGCTCTTCCATCCTGACTTCTCCTCTGCTTAGGGAGCTGTCACATAAGAATATGATATTGAACTGAAACAATCATATTGCATCCAGGAGAAGAAATATAACTGCCATATCGGGAGTGGCAGGTGGTGTTATTGGTAAAGAGCTCACCTGCCAATGCAGGAGACATAAGAGATGCAGGTTCAGTCCCTGGGTTGGAACATACCCTGGAGAAGGGCATGGCAACCCACTCCAGTATTCTTGTCCGGAGAATCCCATGGACAGAGGAGCCTGGTGGGCTATGGTCCATAGGGTCGTAAAGAGTCAGACACAACTGAATTGACTTAGCACGCACAATGTGTTCTCAATGATCTATGTTCTTGAGACAGGTAAGTTGCCCATGTAATAACCCTGGGGCCACCCCCTCCACACTTGTTGTTAAGTAACAGTACATATCCTAATGGTTTAAGCCACTATTAGAATGGTTTTCCTTTTTAGATTTTATTTTAATCAGCCTAAAGCATCTTCAGGGTACTCTCTAAGAACAATGGTTTTAGAGTATAGCCATGACTCAGGAAGATATTTATCAGATGAAAAGATGGGCTAAACTGTTAAAATGTTTTAGGGAACGTGTAATGAAGTTTTGGCATCCTTGCCCTTTCTCCCCCCATCCGCTTAATGCACTTAGCATCTTTTTAGAATTACAGGAGAGATTAGAGTGGCTTATGGTATTGGGAAAATCTAGGGGAGCCCCTAACTCCTGTAGGTCATTCTGCTTTTCCAGTAAGGTTTCCCTATCTCTAGAATGACGTCTTGTACTTCACTAATATTGTTTCTTGTGTGCCCGGTATAGACAAAGGAATGATGTGCGACCACCAATAATCAATGGCTTTGTTCTGGGATTCAGAACCCAGGACTTTACCAGCCCAACAGAGGTACTGTTGATAAGCATGAGGATGAGTCTGAGATATAACTAGGTGAATGACAGAAGAGCCAGGAGCTCTAGCATAGTTCAAAGGGAGGCTGGATATACTGAACGGACGCTGAGGTCCACCCGCGGGGGGGAGGGGGGTTCTGGCCACGCCCTCCCGTTGCTCAGCGATTCTTCTGGCCACGCCCTCCTTTTACTCCGCCCAGCGAACCCAGATACTAACTCGCTCTCCAGATGCAAGCCGATGAGGAGGAGCCGCCGCAGTAGATGCTCTCGTGCCATTTGCCAAAGAGCCGATGTACTGCTTTTCCACTCTGGTCAAACACTGTACCTTCAATCTCATGGGCGTTAGTGCTCCAGTATTTTGCCTAGTAGTAAAAAGAGAGTCATCTGTTAGTGTTTTGGAGTCAATTTATGATGAATGTTAAGAGAAAAAAGGAAGAGGAAAGAAATCCGCAAGAATGATTCCATGCTGCATATGGTTTGTTGGTTCTGGATTAAAAAAAAAATTCATACTTTCAATTATTTAATAAAAATTAAAAGCTAGCCCTTTATTTATAGTTTGTAACTCAACCATCAACATTTGTGTAAGACATAACTTTCTATCTACTTTCACATCATGAACTGCAGGAAGGAAGGGCTCATCTATCAGGTGGGGGTTGAGCCTTAAGCCCCCTCCAGAACAGCTGTTCCCCGCCTGTCACTGTGACTCTACTGCAATTTAAAAGAAATGTAACTCATATTACTTTTTCTCTCAAGGAACTAGACAATCCTTTGTAAACAACCATTTTTTTTTTACCAAGTTTGTAAACCAATCAACTTTCAGTTTCTACTATTAATTTCCGCCCCTCCAAACCAGATCTGCTCACCTAACTTATAGGAACCTTATGCAATCCACATTCCCACTGAGTTGGTCCTGGACTGAGAATAGCTCAGCTAGGCTCAGCCTTGTGGATTTTACACATACAGTACCACACTGCGGTCAGCAGAGGGAGCGCTAACTCCCTAGAGTTGAGTTTTTCAATTTTCCTTGCCTGCCCTAAAAATCTGCAAAAGACCAGAAGGCATTACTCCATAAATCAAAAAATTCTACTACTGTTTTCAGCCAAAACAGAACCCATATTTGGAAACCAATAAAATAGAGTGAAATTTCCAGGCCATATCTGGTGGACTGGCTTCCCCATTCCAAGTCCAGGGTAAAAATGGGAGGAAGGGCAGAGTATCGCAGTACCTCAGAGATTAATCAGAAATCTAACAGTGAGTTCTCCAGTCATGTAGAAACGACAGCAAACACTGTCCAGGCTCTTAAATTTATTCTAAAGCAGAAGTCATATTTTCTCTGTAGAGATATTTGTCAGTAAGTCCAATTACTTACTGGGAAGCCACAGAAAGAGGCAGTCATTGCTCCACACATGACTGCTGCTTTCAGATTCTTTTTCAACACCAGAGGCACATCCAGTGTTCTAATTCTTTTCATCTCTCATGCTATGAAAATATGTTCCCTGGTCCCCAGGTATGGTATACCATACCATTTATGGATGGTATAAATGGGAGTGAAGCACATTTCTGTGGGGAAATTTCTGAGAGCAGGGTAGCTTGCACCTGGATCGATCAATCAATCTATCTATTATCTGTCAATCTCCCAGGTATATATATCCCTTATTCAGGCTTCCTTTGCTTCTTTTTGGAAAGACCTTAGATGAAGTATTTAAGGCAGGGTCATCTTTGCATGCTGCATTGCTTCAGTCATGTCCAACTCTTTTCAACTCCATGGACTATAGCCTTCCAGGCTCCTCTATCCATGGGATTCTCCAGGCAAGAATACAGGAATGCATTGCCATGTCCTCCTCCAGGGGATCTTCCCAACCCAGGGATGGAAACTGCGTCTCTTACATCTCCTTCATTGGCAGGCTGGTTCTTTACCACCAGAGCCAGCTTATTTTATGCCAAATCACTACTAATTCTATCTACAACCCACTTTGACCTACAGGATATAATAAAGACCCCAAGCCATCTCTCCATAATGCCCCCAGTTGCTGCAGGTGGTACAGAGAGGTACTGTGCGAAATTCCAGTTAGAACCTAATCTCTTGGCTTATGATTTTGACCTTAATTAGATGCAAATACTCCTTGAAGAGGGTAACCCTTTAAGGCCACTTGGTATATGTGAGATTTTTACAGGCAAGAGGGAATTTCAGGAGGGAGAAAAGGTGGGGAAAAGGGCTGAAATCAAGGCAGATGGAAAGTTGGATAGGTAAGATGATTCCAGGCTGTTTGCCTGAGGAAAAGCTGTTCACTTATCCTTGAATGTGCACGAGACTCTGCTGTGTGCTAGGCAAAACTGCCTAGCATCAGCCACAGCAGTGGGCAAGACAGATTAGGCTTCTGCTTTTCTGGAGTCAGGAAGAGCAAGGAGGGTATGGGGAGCAGAAAATAAGCAAGTTAAAGCAACAGCGAGCCAGCCACCTGTAGGTGGTGATAAACACTCTGACGATATGAAAGAGGGTGACTAACAAGGCTGGTGGAAGGATCTGGAGAGAGGACCCCAAGCAGAAGGAAGTGGAGAGGGAGAAAGAAGGACAGTACAGCTAGAGGACGGTGAGGAAGGAAGGGGGTGAGGGGTGGCAGGAGTCGAGGTTGGAGAGAAAAAAGGGTGTGTGTGTATGTGTGTGATGGGGGTGGGGAATGCAGACTCTACTGGGTCTCATGGGCCATTGTAAGGATGTAAGCTTTTGTTCTGAGAAAGATGGGAATTGTCAGAGGATTTTGGTCAAATATGATGTGACTTTCATTTTTTAAACTGTGCTAAAACATACATAATATTTACTGTTTCAACCATTTTTAAATGTAAAATTGAGTGGCACTATGTACATTCACAAAGGTGCATAATGATTGCCTTATATATCTCCAGAACTTTTCATCTTCCCGAACTGAAACTCTGTGCCCATTAAATAATGACTCCCTATTCCTTCTTCCCAGTCCCCAGAAATCACCATCCTACTTTCTGTCTTTATGAATCTGGTGCTCCAGGTATCTCATTTAAATGGAATCATTTTTGTCCTTTTGTGTCTGGCTTATTTCACTTAGCATAATGTCTTCTAGGCTCATCCATACTGTATCATGATGACTTATGTTTCAACGGGGTCCCTCTGGCTGACTCACTGGGGAGAGACCATAGAGGAGTAAAGAAAGGAAGGAGGCTGGGAGGGACTGTGACCCTGGTCCAAGTGAGAGGGTTAAGGCTGGGATCAGGGGGCCCTGGCACAAAAATGAAGGTGAAAAATTCCCCAAGACACCCCGTGCCCTGAGGCCCAGTTCTGCCAAGGCCTGTCTGGGGCCACAGCTCACAGGCACGGAGGTTACCTTTATAAAGTTCACTTTGCAGTGGCAGGAATCATCATTCAGGTTCTTGATGACAATCTCTCCATAGTGCTCGATCCACCTCTGCCCACTTAAGATGTTGTGGATGCAAGAAGTCACTTTGTTCCACTCAAAATGATCTCCAAAACTAAAGGGGGGAAAAGGGAAAGTTACAGCTCCCAGAGGAGTCAGCAGCAAATGCAAACAAGCATTTCAAAAACAAGTCCTGTAATGAATTTCTTATACCTTCATTTACAGAGCTAACACCAAGAAAGCCATGCTGGGTGGTCTAAGAGCCTTTACCTTCCTCCCCATGGGTGAGATGGGGGGCAGCAGTCAGACCCTGGAGCTACAGAGGCTCCACTGGAAGTGGGAGGGTCTCCTGAAACAACCCACTCCGTCCTTTGACAGAGGAGGAAACTGAACCGGATTGAGGGGTGTCTAAAGTCACCAAACTATGAAAGGAGAGTGACAAGCGGAGGGTGGAGAGGTTGTCCACAGTGTGCTCCATCTCCACACACACACACGCATATGTATACACAGGCAGACACGTGCACTATGTATTTATGTATATACATGTGTGGGTACATATATGTAGGCACGTATGTCTACAGGAAGACTTTGATCTATTGTAGTTTTGCCAGGTTGAAGGTTTGGGGCAATTCTGTGTAGAGCAAGTCTATTAACAGCGTTTTTCCAACAGCATTTCCTCACTTCATGTCTCTGAAATATATAATATGTAACTTTCATAAGCAATGGGAAGCCAAAAAAATTCATATTGTAATATTTACTTTAGTGCAGGGGTCTAAAACCAAATCTGCAATGTCTCCGAGGTGTGCCTGTACATACACATACATACATATTTTATATATAAATCTTAAGATACAAATATCTTAAATCTTTTACAATGAGAAAGTATTCCACGTATGACTTACAGAATGAAATAATAATTATGAGGATAATGGCATTAAGACCAAACCAAACACTTCATGGCACATACTATGTGCCGAGTATTATCTTTTTTAAATTATTTTAATTGGAGGCTAATTACTTTAGAATATTGTGGTAGTTTTTGCCATACATTGACATGAATCATGTGACTATTTTAAGTGTTATTTCAAGTGCTTTCCATATCTGTTTAATCATCACAACAGTCTTATGAAGTATGGTTTATTATCCCTATTTCACAGATGAGGGAACTGGTGATCAGAAAGGTTAAGTACCTGCCCAAGGATTTGCAATTAGTAAGTAGCAATGAGAGCATATGAGTTCCAGCTCCAGAGACCATAACCATTACCACTTTGCTTTATGAATAAGTGTCAACAATCCCTGAAAGATCAAAGTCATGGCTTTCTTTAAAAACATTTTTGACAGTGAGGCAGAACAACAATGTTAAAGAAAAATTATCATTCTTAATTGTGTTAGAAAGTAGAAATGAAATTTTTAAAAACTCTATTCAGGGAACTTTGGTGTCCGGGAAGTATTTCCATTAGAGAGAATAAAACTGTGAGATTGTCAAAACGAGAAACATTTGAAGCTACGGTCAAACATATTAAAAGAAAAACCCACACACTCAGCACCACGGGGGATAATGGGCATCCTGTTTCCAAACCCTGACCCTAAATTCTATCAAGTTCCTAATCAGAGAAGGAGAACTTACACTGGCAGAGTCACATGGGTTGTGCCAATGGGAACGATTTCCATGGATTTGCCCCAGAATTTGTTTTTCCATCTCACATCTGAAATGAAAGAATACTGAGTATTACATATTTAGCAGGAGAGCTAGGTAGATCAAAGGTTTCTCAGGCTGGATAAATGATTAATCACAATATAGGATAATCTCTTCATAATAAAATTTATCATTATTCAATGTAAATAGCAAATGAGTACCTGGAACAGAATTAGAGAAACTAAAACTACAAAGCATCACCGCCTCCGACCCCCTGGAAGAACTCCTAGTATGAAAGGCATACAGAAGTGAAAAGAAGCAAGGCCCCCATGAGGGGCTATCACTGAGTATGTCCAAATACAGTGAAATGGAACCAGAGAAGAAGGATGAGCACCATGCTTGGAGAAGAGGCTTGTCGGGCCTCTTAAGGCCCTGAAAGGGCAACTTAAACTGTGGTTTGGAAGAATAGATAGGAGTTCACCTGGCAGAGAAAAGGCCGTTTAAGGCAGAAGACGTGAGAGGTGTGGGAGAACAGGGTGTGGTTCTGTTCTGTGGGTCTCAGGTTGTTTAGAGAGAAGAGTAGAAATACAGCTTGAGTACAAAAAACAGCAGGCTTGATAAGCTTGGCTTCTTAAATCGCTGATTTGGGTGCACTGGGGGAAACAAGGTGTTTGTTCAGACAGAGAATTGATGTGATTTAGATACAGACTTTGCCAAGACAATTGGCAGCAATGTGGAAAATGGAACAAAAGCAGGTGAGATGAGAAGCGGGTGATCTGTATTTGCTCAAAGGATCAATAAGGGTGACGTGAACCAGGACAGTGGTAGTGGATGCAGTGGAGAGAGTGGTCCCAGAACCACTAAGGAAACAAAAATAGGACTTGGTGACATTATTACATGCAGACTGTGACAGACAGGGAGAACTTGTGGATGATTTCAGATTTCTACAGCATGCACGAGCGGTGGCGCCATGAGGGGGACAGGGAATAGAAAAAGAAGAGCAGAGACAGATGACCCCTCTGGCTGCTAGGTGACCACACACAGACCGCAGGGGAGCAACGGTGAAGGCAGGGAGGCCAGCAGCGGGGCAAGGCCTGGCCTAGGAGAGAGATGGGCCGGGAGCAGGGAGGCCCTGAGCACAAACTGCAGGATTCTATTTATATGATGTGTCCAGAACAGTCATACCTACAGGGACAGAAAGATCAGTGGTTGCATCAGGATGGAAGAGGTTGACAGAAATTGGAAGGTAGGGGGACAGAGGCAGGAGGGTATGGTGGTGGGGAGCCATTAAAAGGTGGGTACTGGCTGAAGAAGTTTCTTTTTGGAGTGATGAAAATGTTCCAAAGTTCCTGTAGTGATGATTGGACAACTATGTGAACATACTAAAAACCACTGATTTGTACCTTTAATTAGGTGAGTTGTACAGTATATATCTCAGCAAGTTGTTACCCCCCAAAAGATAATTGGTTGTTTAAAGCAAAGTAGTAATAATGTGTGACAGGGTTTATAACATATATACGTAAGATGTTTGTCCACAATAGGAAAGGTTGGGGAAGGGGGAATAGAAGGACACTTTTTAAAGTTTCTTTTGCTATAGGTTAAGCGGCAAATTAACACCTGAAAAGAGACTGTGATATGTTAAAGATATATGAATCCTAAAGCAACAACTAAAAAAATGGAACAAAGACATATAGCTAATAAAGCAACAAAAAATATACAATGGAATCACATATAACAATACAAAAGAAGGTTAAAAAAAAAAAAGAGAGAGAGAGCGAGAGAAAAGGGGGAACAAAAAACTGGTGCGACAGGCAGAAAACAAACAAGAGACCAGATCTAAACCCAACTATGTCGATAATCACAAGATCCCCTGGAGGAAGGCATGGCAAACCACTCCAGTACTCTTGCCTGGACAATCCCATGGACAGAAGAGCCTAGTAGGTTATAGTCCATGGGGTCACAAAGAGCCGGACACGACTGAAGTGACCTAGCATGCATGCACGCACACACATGTCAATAATCATAATAAATGTAAATAATCTAAACAATCTAATTAAGAGGCAGAAAAATGTCAAAATGGATTTTTTTTTTTTTAATAAACAAGATTTGGCAGTCATGGACTTATGGAGAGGTGGAACTGCCCAGGAAGAAGCTGATGAGGAAGAAGCGAAAGGAGCTGAAAGAAAACTGTGATTGATGTAAGGAGCACACAGAAAGTGCCTGAAGAAGACCCCTCCCATTAAATAACATATAACTAAAGTAATAATAACAATAAAGTCCTTACAAGGTCAATGACACGGCAATTAGGAGGTCAGAGACATTATGGGAAACTTTTCCCAAAGTATTTTAATGAAAAAGAAGTCTCCAGTCAAGCTTCAATTCTAAATTTTAGTAGCAAAAATTCAAAAAGGAAACGATGGTACTTGTAATCTAAACTAGCAATACTGCCTCCAGAGAGAGAAACTGGATGGTTAGGAACTGGGATAGGGGAGGGAAATTTCCCACAAAATACTCTTATCTTTTAAATTTTATGGATACATTAAAAAAAAAAAAAGGCCATGTGGCAAATCAGGTGTTAACCAGTTAGAATAATCTTTTAAAAAACTGACATGTGCTCATGGTTCAAAACACTGGGATGCTCAAATTTTCTTTTTATAGCACGCTCTGACTATGGAATAAATAAGTTAACACAATTAATTAATCCATTTAGGAAATATTAGCGGCAATATTTTGTCTTCAGAGCAACCATCCCTCCCAAAATTAAAAACATAATAAACTGAACAGAGGAATAACTACCCCCAAACTGAAAAAAAAATTGGCAATGTAAAATTTCAGAAATAAAATTTAAAGTTTTCAAAAGCAAAAGAACCCTCTGCAGTCTAGAGTCTAATGACTGTAAATATTTAATGTCTCTTGAAATACACGAGACATTTCAAATGGATGCAGAATACGATACAGGGAAAAGTTACAGGAATAAACAACGGTGAAGGGCCAGACAAAGACTGAGAATTTTTAAAGAAGGAGACTATCAAATTATCCTCCGGAAACTTTAATTATGAAATCAACAAATGGCAGTTATTGTTCAGTGATGAGAGGCAAGAACATCAAATGGTACAGATTATTCCAGCAAGATCCAAGTTCAGGGCCCACTTAATGAGCATTTACAGTAAATGATAGTGTTACACAAAATGATAGAGGCACATTACCTTGCCAGAAAACAAAATTTGCAGACTCAGCATGACATGCAGAGATAGGAGGATGGTGGCTGACCTGATGGAAACAAAGGTGAAAAAAACAAAACAAAAAATTAACTTTTGTGTCTTGCAAAATCTTCTTTCTCCCTTGCATTGAGATGTAACCCAACTGCAGTGTCTAACTGAATGGAAGCTTGTTAAGTCCCTTCAACGAGTCTGTCCTCAAGAGGGAGCTCCTGACACAGTTCTGTCTTGTCAGAAAAAAGCCTCCGGAAACCTGGGGAAAAAGCAGCCAAGTGGTGAGTGATGAGGGTGGAAATAAGTTTTGAAAGATGTGAAAATAAAGGCAGAGACACAGGGCTGCCCACTTACAAATCAGCTAACCTGACATTAGCTTCCAAGGTCAAAATCAATACTATTCTGAAAGTACCTGCAAATGTTTTAATTAAGATGTCAAATAGTACATATTTTAAATGTTAAGTATTTCTAAGCAACACAAAAAAACTCTTTGGTTCAGCAGATTTTAATCTGCTGAGCCCACTCAGTGGGTCAACAGTGCAAGGTATCTTTTTGAAAACTGCATCACAATGTCCAGCTACTTTTTAGATCACTGACAAGAAGACCAATCAACTGCTGAGAAAAAGTTTTTGTTCATTTTTTGTTCATAAAAATATCTTCAGTAAATATGCAATTACATTACAGAAAAGAGAGTCCTCTGTAACAGAGACTATAGATCATTTCCCTGCCTTTTGTCATTGGGGTCATTAACTTCTGTTTTACTCATTAATGAAGAAGCTAAAGAGAAAATGGCTCCTCAGCTAGATTTCTTCATTATCTCAGTAACACTCAAGGCACAGGAGCAGTACATGTGCTATTATCATGATAGTTCTATCATAGAGTACTAGTAAATGAGTAATAAGCCTGGCATGCTTGCTTGGGATTGCAGAGTTGGACACAACTTAGCAACTAAGTAGCTACAATAAAAGAGTAACGCTGCTAGTGATGTTTCCAGAAATTTCTATGACATAGCTGGTTCTTAGCAAACATTATCTTACATTTAGGACATTTACACATGAGAAAACTGAAACCAGAAAGATTATCTAACAATAACATTGCCCAAACACACTGAGAGGAGTGGAAGTAAAACCCAGCATTTTTAGTTTGCAGGTGGCTTTCAAAGTTTCCAAAAGAAAAGTTCTTTAAGTAGACACACCCTGTTTTCAAACATATCAAAAACTCAGAACACTCAGAGGCCTGCTTGAGGTGAACAGGTGTGGCAGGAAGTTGGGGTGACCAATCCATAACCACTGGCCTTGCTCTGAACCCTGGACTGCAGAGAGGAACAAGTTTGAGAACCTCTTCTGTGGCCCTCTTCCGGTGAAGAGCCAGGACAGGACGGGAGTGCAATGGTATCCACTTGGCTTGAAGAAAAGCAGGGACAAAGATGTCAACAGCGCAGCTATCTTTCAGGTCTCAATGAACATATAAACCCCAGATCCACTATGAGGTGGATCCACTATGACCGCACATTTGCGGTCCCTCAGAGGTTTTTATTCTCACTGACCTCTTGAGAATGTGAGCTCCTCTCCATGATTATGTGCATTTCATCTCAAACACCGACTAAGAAACCTAACTCCTAAAATGCTTTTCTTTACTGACTTTTCTTTCAAACCAACCCCCTAAAGATACATTATATCACACAAACTGCTAAATCCTTGTCTTCTCTTCTTTCCCCATTAGGAGAACAGTGGAGTTACTTTTTAAACCTTGGGATCATACACAAGAGGGCTTCCCTGGTGGCTCAGTGGTAAAGCATTTGCTCACCAATGCAGGAGACACAGGTTTTGTCCCTGGACTGGGAAGATTCCCCTGGAGGAGGGCATGGCAACCCACTCCAGTATTCTTGTCCGGGGAACCCCATGGACAGAGAGAGGAGTCTAGCAGGCTATAGTCCACAGGGGTGCAAAGAGTGGGACATGATGTAGCAACTAAACAACAACATCATATAAAACTAAACTAGGGCAAGACAATAGTGACCCCCCACTTTTTCACTCCACTTGCCTCATCCACCCCCCAGTGGAGGGGACAGGAGCTATGGAATAGCCCCCTGCCCCATAACATAGGCAGATTTTAAGTAGATTATTACAAAGCAGATCATTGTCATTCCCACAGAAATAATGCAGTAAAAAATGTGAAGATCACAGCCTTGGTCAAGAGTTTGGCATTTTGTAAGTCTGGCAAGTATAAGCACCAACGCAAAATACAATACATAAAAACTAGAAACTCTTCTGTAATAATTTAAAATCCCATGAAACAAGGATATAAATATACTGTCCATATGAATTATAAAAGAAACCCTATCATATCATAAAGTATACATTATGTCCCATAAAATGCAAATTTGACCTTTTTAAAACAGTTGTGTCAGAATAGTGAATCACTGCTTAGCAAAGTGCCTTTAGATGGAGTTGAAGGGATGTTCTCTGAATGCATAAATCCCAACACTGACATATCAATGATTTGGTTTATTTCTTTCTGGCTTAAAAACACCTTTGGGAGTGATTTATTTGATGTACATGACTTTTCAGAAGTTTACAAAGCTTTCCAGGGAAACTAAATTGGTGCCTTATTTTTGTTTGATATGTTTCCTTCCCACAGATATTTATTCATGAAACGTATCTGAAGCCTCTGCCATGTGCTGTGTGAGTGTCAGGGAATGAGCGATTGCTCCTGGAGTCCCCCAGATCTAGAAGCTAACTGTGCAAGATCATCGATATCATCTACTGGCTGTGTGACCCTGAGGGTGTTTTTAAACCTTCTGGGCCCCCATTACCTCATTTGTAAAACAGGACTACTACCACTGACTCTGCAAACTAAAAAAAGATATCCCTTGGAAAGTGCCAGGATCATCTGCTAGTACAGTCAGCAGAGATTAAATTTAAATTTTTTGTCATGAGTGGTATTTCCACTTAGCTCTCATGGTAACCTTGTGTCTTCATTACCCTTATCTTATGAATTAGGAAACAGGGCTTTTTCCCCCCCAGCCAAGAGCCTGCCCAGTGCTACACAGTTAATCACCGACGAGGGCAGCACTCTAAATTCAGGCATTCTGACTTCAAATCCAAGTTTCCTGCGATGCCCTAGCTGCTCCCTGATGGCCGCTCTCGACGCTGGGCCCTGGCTCCTGCCCAAAGCCTCAGCACACTGTTCCCATCTCATGGATATTTAGAAAATGAACCTTCTGAGTTTGACCTTTCCAACCCCTCTGAGTCTTGTTTACTTCTTTGTAAAATGAGGTCTGAGAATCCCTCTGGCTTCAAGATACTATCGTTCTAACATCTGTTTTCTTTGAATCTCAGTATCAGAGGCAGCAGTGGATGCCAGGCAATTGGAAAAGATTCTATTAAGGCTTTGATTAATTAAAAGACCCATGAAAAGGGGGTAATTCCCAGTTAATCATTTAATTTTTATTGATGGTCATCTCTCTAACATCTACTGGAGTAAAGAATAATGGGCACCATCTACCCTGTCTTTGCTAGTACAGGATTTAGTTGAGTTTCTCTTTTTATTACATCTTAACCCAGGCATCAAAAGGGATTAGATTTTGAGTTTGAGTCTGAACTGATTTAGATTCAAAGCGAACACTGTTAACCTGCTGGCTAAACCCACTTTGGACTGTTTTTTAGTATCTCTCTCCATCACTTCCTCTCTCCCTTGATCAAATAGGAGCGATTTTTTTTACTGGTAAGGACCAAACACTCAGGAAATTAGTAAATATGGTTTATCGTGCAAGTATTTATATGTATCTTTCTTTCTACAATCTCAAAGTCAATGAGTTTCCCTAGCAGTTAAGAATTCTTGTGATTCAGCTGAGGTCTTTCTTCACCGTGTCCTGGTGATTTTGATTTATGCTTTCAGAATGCACTTTATATAAGAGGTGGGTGGTAAGGAGACGAGAATATGAGTATTTCAATATTTGTGTATTATATAGGTTTTTCTTCTTCAGACTGAGAAAAGTAAAACCTTAAATACATCAGTGCTGCAGCTGCCCAGAGCCGTAACTATAGAGTCCTCCTAGTCTGGATGTGTCTCCCACCACAAAGGGATGCTTGTGGAAAAGAGAACAAGTAGTCAGTCAAAAATCACCCAGGGAGGGGGCCAAGGCATTCATCAAATATTTCCTGATGGTCTGTGATGTGTCAGGCACTATCTTAGTCACTGAGGATACAATGAGAAACAAAAGAAACAAAAATCTTTACCCTCCTGGAATTTAAAGTGCAGAAATGTAAATGGGTGGACAGATATAAGCACATAATTTGCCAGTGGTGACAAGGGAAGGAGAATAAAGCAAGGATGAAAATGGGAGATGGTGAGTGGGAATGTCATCCTGGACAGGGTGGTTGGGGCAGGACTCTGTGATGGAAATCTCTGAGGGTAAGAGAAGTAAGACAGCCAGTCGCATAGATAGCCAGGGGAAGTATGTCCAGGTCAGAGGACGCAGTCACTGTGCAGGGTTGACAGATGCTCAGAATGTTTTAGGAGGAGCAAAAAGTTCAGTGTGGCTGAAGCTGAATGAGTCAAAGTGGGAAGAGGCATGATATCTGGAGGTGTCATCTTAGAGGGCTCTGTGGGCCGCAGCCAGAACTTGGGGTTTGATTCCAAGTGACTGCAGAAGTTATTAGAGACATCATTCTGGTTGCTGAGCGCAGAATCGGCTGTGGGAACAAGGGACCAGATAATGAGTCTATTGCAACAAGCCCAGTCATTGATGCCAATGGCTTGGGCTTGATGACTAGCACCAGTGGGGTAGCAGTGAAAATGGCTTTGAAAGGAAGACCCTGGGATTTGCTGATGAACAGGATGTGGATTATAAGAGAAAGCTACTAAGGAGGAGGCCAAGAATACTGGTCTGATTTGGGGGGCAGGGAACAGTCGCCAATTATTTTCTCTTCCCCTGAGTTCAGAGTTAAGTACTTATTTGATAAACACACGGTTTCTTAAAAAAAAAAAAAAAAATACAGTAAGTAATAACCTAGAAATGCAGAAGCACTGGTTTGGTCACCTTACAGTTGATTTATTGCTTGTTTTACTTGAACAGCTTTGAATTTGCCCTGATAATGACTTTAAATAAAATGCTATTTTAATCAGAAGTAAATAACCCTGCTTATGAGTAGATAAAAGAACCACTCAGATGGGTGATGTGAGTGTGCACAGTGGGAAGTGATAGGTATGGTATTTTTAAAGTCCAGCCAAGAATGTTTTTTCAGAATCTGACGAGTAATAGAAAAGGAAGAAGAGCTGTGTCTGTGAAGCAAAGGAAAAAAGACTCTGTTTGAATCTCTTACAGTTTAGTAACTTTTAATAACTTTGTTCAGCTTTTCAATAAAAAATTCAACAGTCATGGCTGGATGGGTAAATGCTGAAAAGACTTGAACAATGATCTGATAGCTGAAGTTCCTGGTAATCAGGAAAAGCCACGTTCAGACAATAGCTTAACTGCATATCCTTTATGGACACCAAACTGTTCCCAAAGGTACAGAAAATGAAGCAAAGTGAACTGAAATGACTTTTCTGACCAGTCTAGTCACTGATGAAACTCCACCCAGGCTGCCTAAGAACCAATGAGGAAGAACCTGCTGGCCAGACCTCTGGTCCCTGAGAAGGGAAGTCCTTTCCTTCTGGATTCTCCCTTCTCAGGGCTTATTTAGAAAACCAAGGCTGAATCAGATTTCTTGGCAGAAAGGAAACCCCTCCCCTGAGAAGGTGGAACAGTCGGAGGTTAGCACATGTGACGGGAATGTTTATGACTGATTCCTGAAAGTTCCTTGTTCACAAAGGCCACTGCCCAGCCTGCAATGGGAGTTAAGATCACATTCNCACAAAGGCCACTGCCCAGCCTGCAATGGGAGTTAAGATCACATTCATATGTGAGTTTGCAGGATGAAAGGTTTACTTGACAATGACAGGCAAAATCCCATAGTCTGAACAGAGTACAAAAGGCTGTTTTCACATGGGCAGATGATGACTCTGGCAGCTCTGAGCACGGTAACTAAACTTACACAAGACATACCAAAAAAAGGTAAGGGAGAGAGGATGCTGGAATAGAAACAAAGGGTGTCAGCTGAGGACCACTAAAAGGCACTGATGGGCTAGCCTTGGTTTTCTCATCTGTAATTGATCCTTGCCTCACTGGCCACAAAGGGTTATTGTGAAGATCAAACAAGATCCTGATCAAGTTTGAAAAACATAAATCACCTTGCAAGCACCATACTAGTTAATTGTTAGGAGGAAAATTTGAACAGCAAGTGCTTTCTCTCGTTTCTGACTGCATGAGTCATTTTGATGTTGCATTTTTGGGCCTTTTACGTGAGAGACGATATAAAGAGGGCAAGCTTCCATATAGCTGAACTCTGTGAAGTAGCAGTTACTTCAACTTCCTTAGCTACCGACAACTCCAAACATTTCCCCACCCTCACCAAAACCACAAGCAAATGAAATCCCAGGGCTTGGAGGAAATGGATAAAAATCACTTTCCAAATCACCCAATCCTGTTGTCTAGAAAACTCAGTAGAAAAGCCGAGTGATCTGTTTTTTTCCTAGGTCCTTTCACCTGGAGATATCTCCATCAGTGTCCTCCTTAGACAAGAGTTCCACCCCAAAATATTAATTCAGGGGTTCTGTTCAGTTTATTACATCAGCCATTCAGCACCTCTACTCATTGTAGAGAAGTACAAGGAAGCAAAGAAGGCCCCAAACTCTGAAAGCTGCAGTCCGTCACCTACATATATGGACAAGGGTGGAGTCATGCTGTCTCTATAACAGAACATCTTCTGGGCTAGAAGCAGAAGGAGCCAGACTGGCAGGTACCATTCTATAAAAACAGAATAAATGCTCAGGCACTCTCTTTAGATGTGTTAAATTAGAAAGCCTTCATGCACAACAAGTAGGCTGGTCAATATAACCAACAAGGCCAAGAGAGGGAGTAGAGGAGGCTGAATTGATGTATTGCCTGCTGGCTGGGAAAGAAGGACCCTGGTCAAAAGACTTTCCACTCCTGGGGCAGCAGACAGCCTGGCACATTGAATTAATCAGTTACCTCTCTGTCTCACTATACACTTATGTGATGACCACATTTTGTCTTCCTTAAGAAATCTGTGGGAAAACATCCCTGGTCAGGCTGACCAAAGCCATCTGGTCCCCATGGCAAGTCTATTTTATATTCTAAAGGCATAGGGTAGTATTCTGATTTATAGACTAGACTCTTATAAACTTAGCTAGTGTGATTCTGTCCCTGAGAGACTCATTCATACTCAGATGTATTAAAAGACTCAACTACCTATGCCATAAGGCTAAATTCCAGACAGATGAAGTGGCTCCCTCGTGATCAGGATGGTGGTATTCCCACGGTGAAGCCAGCTGTGAGGACTCCCGGCAGCCTCCTACATGACTTTCTGTCAGAGACTCAGCAGTGACATTATGCCACTTTTGAACCATTTGAAATCAGTAGAGTAGATATAGAATATATTTTTTCAACACTCTTCTAACTGTTCATAAACACTGGGTATTAAAAAGCATTTTAAAAGTTGCCTCTCAGTGTAAGAGCAATAATCAGGTACTGAATGTGCTTCACATATCAGTGTGTTATTTTACTTATCCTTTCTGCAGCCTATGAACTAAGCATGATCATCCCTATTTTACAGATAAATAACTGAGGTTTAGAAAGGTTAAGTAGCTCATACAAGGCCACACAGTGGTTGGGTTAGAATGAAAACAGTCCATATTACACCCAGCATGCCCTATGCTACTAACAATGACCAGATCTCTTATTTATTTCCTTGGGATCCATTTCATGGAACTAAAGACTAAGTTATGTAACTCTTTCCATCTCTGTGCACACACGTCCAGGGGCTCCCTTTTCTTTCTCCCTGCCACCACAGGGGAGCCACAGATCCCATATCAGCCCTGCCCCGTCAGGGGCTCGTGGAATTGAAGCTGTTTTACACAAGTGCATGTTACTACTCTTTTCTTCTACCTATTCATCCCATCCTGATTGTCTGCTGTAGTCTGGAGCTATTTTTGGCCTTTGTTTTTTCACATGAGTGCATAGAATACCATGGTAACCAAATTATATTTTCATGTATTCTCATTCCATTTTAGGTTTAGTGTTTAAATAACCCAGTTGAATTTGAATCACATTATCTTACCCTTTAACTACTGATTTAAACCCCTACTGTTTGAACATCAGTGTTTAATTTCTTGTTTTAACTGTTAACCAGAAAAAATTGACAATGTGCTTTGGGATTGTTGTCTAATCATTTTTATTTGAGTTTCAGAGAATGCTGCTCATAATTCACAGTTAAGGCCATCACCATCTTCATAAGACTCTCAGTCACACCACCCTCCCCTTCTCACTCCCATAATACCAGTCCACTTATAAAGAAGCCCACGTATAAAGGCAGCACCAAGACAATAGGAGGAAAATCAAGTTTTAGCAACTCATCCTTTTATCCTCAGTTTTCTAAGAATTGGGAGGGAATCAATGATGTTTCATGTTCCCAGGATAACATTTAGGGATAGACACGTTGAGGTGCTGCCTTAACGAGATGGGAGAGACGTGGTCTTTATTTTCAGTTAAGTTGCACTCTATTTCAGCTAAACAATTCCTTATTGTCAGATATTGTGGATGTCCCCAACATTCCACTATTGCAAGTTATGCTGTTATAGGTCAATAAGGATAGCAAACCCTCACGTAACACTTCCTACTTCAAGGATAAGTGCTCTAAGAGCTTTGTAGAGGATAACTCATTTGATCATTGCAAAACCATCTGAGTCTGTACCATTATCCTCATCACCACTTTACAGAGGAAACTGAAGTGCAGAGAGCTTAAGGAATTTGCCCTCAGTTGCAAACCTAGTGAGAGAGAAAGGTGAGATTGGAATCTAGGCTGTCCGGAGATACATTTCTTGAATATTACCCCCTGCTAACACAGGTGGGAAGGGTCTTGTGGAACTGAAGGGAACTCAGGCTGTGTGAGCATAAGGCTTGTCCATCTATTAGCTGAGGGACAGGCATTCTTGTCTGCCTCTGGCCCATCACCCAATACAGTACCCCAGCACCTAAAACAATGCTAGGCATGTGGTATAATCTCGAGAAGTATTTATGGATGGAATGAATAAATATATGAATGAATGATTTCTCTTAAATCAAAACCAAGAATAATGCATTTATTTGGTGCTCCTGCTTCTGATGGCAGTGCTCCTGTTTTAGAATGGTGATGTCAGCAAGCTAGGCTGCACACTTTAAATCTCTTAACTTGCAGTTTGGGCAAATGCTTTGTGCTTTAAAAATTCTTCTCGGCTACAAGTTTAAACAGAAAGAACTGAAGTGATGCACGCAGCCAAGTGAGCCCCAGCCTGGCTAGCACCTTTAAGCCCATGGGTGGTGGCAAGGTTTCAGTGGAAGGAAACCGATCTCTCTCTTTATGTGCAGAAGCACTGTAATTATCTGTTACTGGGAAGCCAGTGACAGGTGGGAAATAAATATTTCAAAAGCCCGCTTAATGGGAGACATGAGCAACTTCTCCCAACAAACAAAAAAAAGGGTGTATACCTACCTGTTCTGAAAAAAACCGGAAGCCCTTGTCCTCACGAATACACTCATATGTTTCTCCAAGGACTGGATTAAAAGGCTTACTCCCAGCACGGAAGTAGCTAGACGCATATGCAGACACGGCAAAGGCTGCCACGTACACCTAGGGAAAAGGGAAGAACCTGGTTATTCCTCCATCACAAAGAAACTTATTTTCACAAAGACATGAACAAAATATAGCTTCTCTTTCTCTCTTTCCTGTTTATTTCAAAAAGGCAAAGATTTGTCCCTGGTTTAATGACACCCAAATGGACTTTGGTTTCAAGTTGTGGGTTTAAATAGTGTTCATTTGGGCCCTAGAGACAAATGAATCAGATTGTCCATTTGGTTTGATGCCTGCAGGTGGATAGAGGCTTTCAAGATGGTGAGTCAGGCCCTATAAATCTGCCACTATCTGACAATCCTGACATGCTAAGGTTCTGGAGGAGGAGAGGAACAAACAACATTAAAGAAGCCAAACTTCCCTCAAGATACAGGAGTAAGTCACAGGGAAATCTGCTCAATACTCTGTAATAACCTAAATGGGAAAAGAACTTGAAAAAGAATCAATACATATATTACGTGTATAACTGAGTCACTTTAGGGTACACCTAAGACTAACACAACACTGTTAATCAACTATACTCCAACATAAAAAATTTTTTAAGAATAAGCATCCTAGGCTGCTATCCAAAAGTCTACAAGCAATAAATGCTGGAGAGGGTGTGGAGAAAAGGGAACCCTCTTACACTGTTGGTGGGAATGCAAATTAGTACAGCCACTATGGAAAACAGTGTGGAGATTTCTTAAAAAGCTGGAAATAGAACTGCCATATGACCCAGCAATCCCACTTCTGGGCATACACACCAAGGAAACCAGATCTGAAAGAGACACGTGCACCCCAATGTTCATCGCAGCACTGTTTATAATAGCCAGGACATGGAAGCAACCNATGTTTATAAATTGAAGGTTTATGGCAACTTTGCAGCAAGTATGTCTGTTGCTGCCATTTTTTCAACACCATTTGCTCACTTCCTGCCTTTGTGCCACATTTTGGCAATTCTCACGATATTTCAAATTTTTTCTTTAGCAGTGAAGCATTTTTAAAATTAAGGTATGTGAGTGAAAGTCACTCATTTGTGTCCGACTCTTTGCGACCTCATGGACAATACAGTCCATGGATTCTTCAGGCTAGAGTACTGGAGTGGGTTGCCATTTCCTTCTCCAAGGGATCTTCCCAACCCAGGGATCGAACCAGGGTCTCCCCCATTGCAGGCAGATTCTTTACCAGCTAAGCCACCAGGGAAGTCCAAGAACACTGGAGTGGGTGCCTATCCCTTCTCCAAAGGATCTTCCCAACCCAGGAATCAAACCGGGGTTAAGAATTTGCCTGCAGTGCAGGAGAGCCGGTTTGATTCCTGGGTCGGAAAGATCTCCTGGAGAAGGGATAGGCTACCCACTCCAGTATTCTGGCCTGGAGAATTCCATGGACTGTATAGTCCATCAGGTTGCAAAAAGTTGGACACGACTGAGCGACTTTCACTTGATGTTAAAAATTAAGGTATATATATTGCTTTTTAGATACAAAGTTACTGCATACTTAATAGACTAAGTATAGTGTAAACATAAGTTTTATATGCACTGGGAAACCAAAAAACTCATGCAACTCACTTAATTCTAATACTTGCTTTATTGAAGCGGTCTGGAACCAAATACACAATATCTCTGAGGTGTGTCTGTATTCTTTTGTTCTTTTGAGAGGGAGGCGGGCAAAAAAGTTAAACCTAAGTAGCAATAGCAAATTTTCCTTTCTAATACTGAGTAATAATCTCAATGTTTCCTCTTATCTGCTTAGTTCATAAAGTTTCTTATATTGGAGAAAAAAGCTGGGTACCTTTCATAAATGTTCACTAGTCACATAATTTTCAATGCCTTTTACAAGCTGGACCCACCTTACCACCTCACACTAGAGTGTATAGAACACTCTGGAGTAGCTGGAGAGCTTATTAAAATCAACTTGTGCTCAGTTCAGTCTGTTCTTGAAACCTGGGTATCTGTTCCTCTGCTTCCTCAGATGTCTGTTTTCTGATTAGCAGCAAGGTCACACGTCTATACAGAATGTTGAGTCAACCCTGAATCACCTTCACAATTTAATATAACACATGTTGAAAAGAACCTGGAATCATTCATGATGCAGGGGGAGAAGGAAGGGAGGGAGCAGGCAAAACAAAGCATCTTCCCTGTAGGCTGGCAACATGAGAGAGAATCTCTGCAGGGGTAGAGTGGACCCTCATACTTGGAGCAGCAAACCTATTACATGGGCTAGGTTCTTCCCTAATGCTTTTCTGAACTTTCCTTTCTTAATGTATTGGTGCCTTTTCTCAAACTTCTTCTCAAGGTCAAATGACTCCAACCAATCAGCTGACATCCTAAGGGGTCTCTAAATTGCTACAAAAATGAAACACCTTTAAAAATGCTTTCATCTTCAAAGTCAATCATGCTCTTTAAAGAAAAGCACTGTCCACAAATGATAACTTTTAACACTTTCCTTGGAAGCTATTTACCTCTCTTTGTTCATAGAAATTCTCTGGGGGAAGAGTAACAAAGAAGACAGAAAATAAACAGCTTGTTTTTCTCTCCTACTCCTATTATCATTAGTATCAAGAAAGAAAATACCTTTGATAGGCGAAGTCCCTGGAGATAGTATGGGATGAGATGGGATGTTTCTTTCAACCAGAAGTTAAGATTTCCCCTTAATCCTTAAGTTACTGAAGAAATTGAAGTTTTAACGAGAGTTTAAACTGCAGAATGTGCACAATTTAGAAAACAAAGGCATCTTCCACCAGTGAGAGGGTGATGTCTGGCTGGGTCCCTGGGGCTGGAGGTGAGCCCTCTGATTCAGCCAATCAGCAAATGCCCAGGACAGGGATGCTGAATGTGGGGGAGGATACTGATGTGCCAGCATCCTACACAATGAGCTTTGTGTTGAGCAGGTAACATACCAGAAGGCAAAAAGAGGAAGAGGCACTCAGTTTTGAAGAGCAAATAGCCACAGTCACAGAAAGGGTTGACTTGGCCAGTCTTATCACCAAGGTACCCCTGTCCTCTGTCCCCACAAGGCAGGGGAAGGATGAGAAATTCTTGGAGGCCCCTTTATTGGAAGCCCCATTACTTGATTAGAACTGATACTAACTAGAGAACAGAAGATTAATTTTTCTAGGATGATTTTTATTCTTTAACTTATTCTATAAAAGAAGTGGGGAAGGGGAATCAACTATACTCTGATAAAAATTGATTTAAAAATAGTGGCAGGGGGAGAAGAATCTTTCTGATGTGAAAACCTCTTCTGTGACTGAATGATATTTTCTAAAAATTCAGGGGCTGATGGGACAATTACAAAAATAAACCAAAACCTTCTCATGGGAAATTTACCCTGGAAAAAACAAAAAAGAGCTCAAAAAATTAAATTCTCCCCACTCAGAGTAGTAAAAATAAACATTCAGACAGCCCTCAAGACTTGTTTTCCAGCCAGGCAATATCAGAACAATCACATGGAAGGTTCTGGAGAAAGAGGAAGCCCAAAACCACAGAGCAGAACTACCCTCAGGCAGCGGCTGTTACAGGGAAGCCGCCCTCAACGGCCATTCCTGACCAGGTGACTGAAAGCAGCCAGGCAGAGGGGACGCGGAGGTGGCCGGGACATGAGCCCCTCTGATGGGCAATCCAGGGGGAAAGTGGAGGGCAGGAGCCCGGCTGTGCCCGCAGCTCAGCTGCGAAGGCGGGCCGGTGAGGGGGCAGGGTGCGCGCTCACCATCCTCTCCAGGGCGCTGGGCAGCTGGGCGGCCTTGTCCAGGAGCTCACAGTATTCCAGCTCCTCGCAGAGCCTCTGCAGCGTGTTGAGGGGCTCATTGAGCTCCACCGGCATGGCCACCTTAGACAGGTCCTTCCCGATGTTGTTTCTCAGGATGTTCCACAAGCTGACGTTACTGGACTTGGGGCACGGCGCTGGCAGGCACGTCCTTCTTTTGGACTTGGCTTCCCCGCCACTATCGATCACTGGCCCTGAAAGAGAAATCAGCCTGGTTGCCTTATGAGGATTTTCATTTTATTTTACTACTGAAAAGGAAAAAGAAATCCACCTTACCGAGCAAGTATGCGATATTGTTAATCTCAATTATCCAGATTATGACTAAAAGTCAGACAATATAAAGAATCTTGAGTAGCTGAATGGAGCACCCAAAATTATAAACACTAAAACTCATGGACTTTCTTCACAGGGAGGTCTTCATGCTACTGCTCAAAAGCTAGTTCTTCAGAGTTTATACACACTGAGGATAATACTGGAAACTAGACTGCTATGCCCAGAGTTGGTTATTTCTAATCTCCTTAAAACGTTTAAAAGCACTTCATGTTCTGATAAGAATTTATTAAAATCTTTTAAAAGATCATTGCAAATTCTGATAAAACAATTGTGCATATTACAGGAAAATTATAAAGGAAATAAAAGTCATCCATCATCCCACCACCTAGAAATAGTAGTCATTTATATCGGAGTATTTTCATTCATTGTTTTCTCCATACAGTTCACAATGTTTGTAGAGTTTAATGCTTTGCTTAATCAGATAAATATTTTTCTATGCTACCCAGAATTCTTCTAAAACAATTTTAATGAATGTAAAACAATTCCATGCTATGTATAAGCCATAATTTTTTGAATCATCCATCTATTGTTGGACTTCTAGATTTGTTTCAATATTTTGCTATGATGCAAAAAAAGCTAGTTAATGTACATATTCTTGGATATTTGATTATATCTGATTATTTTCTAAGGACATAAAGAAGTGGGATTATGATGTCTAAGAACTCAAACATTTATAGACTTTTGATTCATTTGAGCATACTACTCTTCAAAATTTCCCATTTATCAGCAAGCATGTACCAGTGTCCATGTTCTAATGTCATTCTAGGCTTGTCAGCATTGATTTTGAATTCTTGACAAATCATTAGGTGGACAGTGCTATCTCCTTGTTTTAACTTACATTAAAAAAAATTACTACCGTGACTTGGAATGTTTTCATGAATATTCTTTTCTGAATTGTCTGCTTTCCTATTCATATATTAAGACATAACCTTTTGTTTTTATATTTGATTTATAATTTAATTGCCACCTGACATTTATCTTTACATTTGGCCTACACATCTTTTTAAATGAGTGAAACATTTATGTCTTAGGTATTTATACCCATCAATTTTTTCCCTGTGACAACTTCCATTACTTTATGCTCTGAAATTCTTTTCCCACCCCAACACAACCTATTTTCAAAAGAAACCTTTTGCATTACACCAACATATGAGAAAACGGTATTTTATTTTAAAGTCAATCACTCTGAATAATGAGGCTGCTTTGATGAACAGGAGAATATGAAAGTGAGGTCATACTTTGAAGTCTCATATTAATCTAAACATGCAATTAAATTCTGCATTTGTTTCAGTTGCTCAACATGGGCAAAAATCAAGTAAACAGCTGCAAATGATAAGAGTCTTTAAAAACTGTGTTCCCTGTAATCTCAAAATACTTTGTTTTAAAGAATATTACACTACTACTGGAGAAGACTCTTGAGAGTCCCTTGGACAGCAAGGAGATCAAACCAGTCAATCCTAAAGGAAATCAACCCTGAATATTCATTGGTAGCACCCAATGCAGTGACAGAACCAAACATGTACAGACTGATTTGGGCAAGTCGGGGAGGGGCATTAATTAATAGGAAACACTCTAAATACCTAACTTTTACTAAGGGTTCAAAGAAAGACTAGTGTGGTAATTTATCAAGACCTGGATCCAATCCTATTTCCTTCTGTAGGAAATATTGTGTCCTAAGATGCAAAGGTTATTGCTATATATAATCTTTTCAGTAGAGTACTGATATGTAGAGATCTAATCTTCTAATTATTGCCAAAGAAGAAAGCTGGGTTTGGCCCAGTGTTTGTTCAAGCTAAGAAAACATTGGTCAGTAATCTAGCAACATGACTGTGGAAAAGAGAGAGAACTGGCCTTCACCTCTTACATGCTTTCCCTGGCTGGTGTCAACTCAGCACAGCTGTGGTCTTAGGTCCTTGAGCAAGTCCTCTGTTCCTAACTTTGACCTCTGAACCCTCTATCCCTCGGTTCGCCTTGGGATCCTCCCTAAGGCCTCAGATAGGAGACTTTGGTGTTTGTCTGTCTTCTTCATCCACAATGAGGGTTCCCATTCAGTGTGGGTGTTGTTTGCTAAGGAAATAACTGATGCTTTCTCATTTCTCTTTCAGTTCACCTCCTTGTTTTTTTACAAAAACAAGTATTTTATGAACTTGCTCCTGTATGACTGGTCTTTACCTTTGAATCACTGGTTCTCAGACTTTTCCACCAAAGGGTTAATCTCTCCAGAAACAATTCAGGAATGACACAGAGCATAATGAGCTTCTGACTTCTAGCAGGTATGATGCTGGAAGGATGTTCTTCCAGAAGATGGTAGAATTACCTGTCTTTTTTGTAATCCTTCAAAGAGCAGGCTCTTTGGCATTCAGATAACAACTCATCATCATCATATTTCACATGTACATACTGAGCTGGGAGACACTGAAACATCAAAAAGGACCTAGCATGGTCCTTGTCCTCCATGTAGATATGAAAAGAGGTGGTGTTCTGGCATAGATAAGCCTACAGACCCCAGGCACACTGCGTACCAAAACCGGTAGTATTTGATGTTACAGGACTCATATAAAAACTCGTTCAGTGGGCAGATTCTTCTTAAGGTAGGTCAGCTTCCTAAATAAACTTTAGTCTGCTTCCTCCTAAATCAGAGCTGTTTGGAGACAGCAGATATTTCAGGTACTCCACGGTTCCAACTCACACTTTCTGGTCATCATTTTCACTCTTAGATTAACCAGAAATAAAGGGACATCTTAGGGTACCTGAAGCCCTACCCCCAAGGACATAGCTGTTTGCTACTCTCCAATGAGTTATCTTGAAGAATCTGAAACTAAATTAGCCCTCAGACCAGACCTTTTACAAGTCCTACAGCATGCCTAGACTATAAACGCCACTAGATACCTGAAGGCAAAAAGCTATATTCTAATATGTTTACAGAAAGTTTAACCACACAAGGAGCATCTGTTATATTAATCTTTGATATTCATGTGATGATTCATATGCCCTTACTTTATAAAATAGAAATCTGCATGAGCAGACAAATTTATGTGAGTGAATACATATTTCACATGAGTGCCATGTTTCCACCTAGATTATAAAACCGTTGAGGGTGTTAAGCACGTCTGAAGTTTCTGATGTAGAACGTGCTCCATTCTCTGTCTGCAACAGGTACTCCATATATACTTACTAGTATTCTGCAAAGATTCAAACACTCAAATAATATTTTGAGATGAAATAATTTAAATCTTACCCAAAGTTTGTCTCTCATTATCCAAATCATTACTGAGATTGTCTAAGGAAAGGTTGTCACTTATGTCACTGACATATGAATCATCTTCAGAAATCTATGGGAAAAAAGGAAATAATATACATTAGATAAACAAGCCAGATTTCATAAAACCTTTACTTCAAATAATCAAATATCTTTAACAATACATTATAAACCTATAGAAATAATTTTGGGTGCTGTTTTCATTAAGCCCCATACACCAGTCTACCTAGGAGGTATGTTATTAAAAATAACATATATGTTATTAAAATTCTTACACGCTCTTGATTCATTCTGACAAGGGCAACATAAGTAAATTCCAGATTTTAGTCATTATAAAAATTCTTATTAATTCAGACTGCTTTTATAGAATTTGTTAGCATTTGAGTAGAATGAGTTAAATCTGTCTTTTAACTATTTGTGAATAGAAGAATATTCTATGGATATGAATAGATAAACAATATTAGTACTTATAGTGGTTTTCCCCCACTTTCTTTAGTTTAAACCACTAGGCCATTCAGGTATGACCTAAATCAAATCCCTTATGATTATATGGAGGTGACGAACAGAGTCAAGAGAAGAGGTTCATAACATCATACAGGAGGCAGTGACCAAACCCATAACAAAGAAAAAGAAATGCAAGAAGGCGAAATGTCAGAATTCTCTACAAATAGCTGAGGAAAGGAGAGAAGTGAAAAGCAAGGGAGAAAGGCAAAGATATACCCAACTGAATGCAGAGTTCCAGAGAATAGCAAGGAGAGATAAGAAGGGCTTCTTAAATGAACAATATGAAGAAACAGAGGAAAACAATAGAATCGGAAAAACTAGAGCTCTCTTCAAGAAAATCCGAGGTATCAAAGGAACATTTCACGCAAGGATGGACATGATAAAGAACAGAAATGGTAAGGGCCTAACAGAGATTAAGAAGAGGTGGCAAGAATACACGGAAGAGCTATACAAAATTGGTCTTAATGACTCAGATAACCATCATGGTGTGATCATTCACCTAGTGCCAGACATCTTAGGGTGTGAAGTCAAGTGGGCCTTAAGAAGCATTACTACAAACAAAGCTAGTAGAGGTGATGGAATCATAGCTGAACTATTAAAAATCCTAAAAGATGATGCTATTAAAGCATCACACTCAATAGGTCCACAAGTTTGGAAAACCCAGCAGTTGCTACAGGACTGGGAAAGGTCTGTCTTTATGCCAATTCCAAAGAAAGGGAAGTGCTAAAGAATGTTCAAACTACC